GAGATAGAGAGATACAAAGTAACATTGTTTATAAACATTGATCAGAGGGAGATAGAGAGATACAAAGTAACATTGTATATAAACATTGATCAGAGGGAGATAGAGATACAAAGTAACATTGTTTATATACATTGATCAGAGGGAGATAGAGATACAAAGTAACATTGTTTATATACATTGATCAGAGGGAGAGATAGAGAGATACAAAGTAACATTGTTTATAAACATTGATCAGAGGGAGATAGAGATACAAAGTAACATTGTTTATAAACATTGATCAGAGGGAGAGATAGAGAGATACAAAGTAACATTGTTTATATACATTGATCAGAGGGGAGAGAGATACAAAGAACATTGTTGATCCATACCACATAAAGGAACGGAGGAGGGTCACTTACCTCTTTCAGGCAGCCCATGAAGTTGTTGCTGACGGGGGACCCCGGTAAGTCGGCCGTGCTCGGACTCCCCCCAACATAGAAGAAATCGTCAGAGCCCAGCATGGTGTAATCCTCCTGGGTGTAGCCGGTTGTGGTCAGGATTCCGTCTACTGATATTGTCACCTTACAAGGAAAGAAGGGGACACACCGTCATCCTCCATGTCACCGCACACAGTGAGATCGAGACTACAAATCTCTCGTCACCACAATGTCTGTGATATCCAATCACATCATCCGAACCGGCTCAGGAATCACAGGCGTCACATCTAGAGACCCGACATGGATACCCAAAGCCCTTCCAGCACCCAGCATTATATGTTCTGAAGGACAATGTGGCCCCCGGAGAGGGAACGTGGCCCCTGGGAGGGACGCACTGTGCAAGATATGTCAAAGCCCAGACTCCTACCACACGATACATACGAGCGGCATAATGACCCCCCCCCATGTCGCCCCCAAAATCCAGCCCACATCTCCGGGAGTGTAACAGCTGATTAGTATGATGAGGGCCACAGGCAGAACATGGGACGCTGCCATACATGTGAACAGCCTGCTGAACACAGCACCTACATACAGCCTGCGTGTGGACATGTGGGTGAGGCGCTGAGACGTCTCCGGATCAGTCACAGCATGGAATTGTTTCACCTGCATCCTGAAGATGAAGAATGGGGGAAAGGCTGAGACTTTCCTGACGGGGTGACTGAGGTAGAGTCGCCATTTTCCTGACTCTGGAAGCAGCTTCTGTGTTGGCAGAACACAAGTATGATACATGCATTGCGTAGGCCCCGCCCCCTTCCCTCCCCCGTGTATGAGATCACACAGAAACCAGTCACCCCCCCCCCCACATCTCCACCCAATGTCAGGAAACCTTGTTCATCATGAAGACTCTGGATTCCTCATGGGCTTGACGCCATCTCTGAGAATGAGAGACGTTGTACATCGGAGGGTCCGGGAGAGTCTCTGTACAGAGTGTGAAGGACGAGAGCGCCGCAACATAGTCACAAGTCCAATAAAAGCTCATTCATCGGAATAAAGAGAAACCAACGCGTTTCAGAGCTCTCCCTTCATCAGGGCTGAGAACCGAGAGCAACGTCCAATCATATCAATATGAGGCTCCAAGAAGAGCTGCGAATATCCAACCCCCTCCTATTATATTATATATACATCCTCCTTCTATTATATTATATATACATCCTCCTTCTATTATATTATATATACATCCTCCTTCTATTATATTATATATACATCCTCCTTCTATTATATTATATATACATCCTCCTTCTATTATATTATATACATCCTCCTTCTATTATATTATATATACATCCTCCTTCTATTATATTATATA